GGCCAGGACATTTTCTACTACTGCCACGAGCCCGGACATTTTGTTAGCCGCTGTCCGAAGAGACTTCAGCAGCAGCCCCAGCAGCCTCAGCAGCCACCACAGCAGTCGCAGCCTCGTCAGCAGGCTCAGAGGCCGCCTCAGCAGCAGCAGCAGAGGGCAGACAGCAGGCCCGAGTCTACGCGATTGATCAGGTTGAGGCAGCGCAGCAGCCAGGTACTATGTCAGGGATGGTTGTGCTTAATGATATTCCTGTTTTCGCTTTGTTCGATACTGGAGCAACGCATTCTTTCATTTCACGACGATGTCTTGATGCCATCGGAGTTCACGCTACCACCGCTATCGATCCTCTCGAGGTGAGTTTAGCCTCAGGACGAAAGATAATGACTTCAGCTAAAGCTTCAGATCTCGGCCTTTCCATCGGTGGTCGTTCATTGTCTACCGACGCGTATGTTCTCGAGATGAGGGACTTCGACCTTATTCTCGGAATGGATTGGCTATCCTTTTATCATGCATATATCTGATGTCATGACCGGGAGATTACTCTCTATCTTTCGGGAGACGATTCGATTACTTTCTTTGGCTCTAGGAATCGTTCTTTTCCTCATGTTGTTTCGATGGCGAAAGCTACCAAGTTGCTGAGACGAGGCAACTGCCAGGGTTATCTAGTGAGCCTTGTCGATGAGTCTCAGAAAGCATGATTACCTCACGATGTCCCAGTTGTTCGTTAGTTTGTGGACGTGTTCCCAGACGAACTCCCAGGAGGACCGCCTAACCGACAGGTAGAATTCTCATTCGATCTCATTCCAGGGGCCGGTCCAGTATCCAAAGCCCCGTATCGTATGGCGCCGAAGGAGTTGCAGGAGCTTAAGGCACAGATTCAAGAGTTATTACGACTCGATTTTATCCGACCGAGCGTGTCACCTTGGGGAGCACCCGTTCTCTTTGTTAAAAAGAAGGACGGATCCATGCGCATGTGTATTGACTACCGAGATCTTAACCGGTTGACGATTAAGAACAAGCATCCGCTTCCCAGAATCGATGACTTATTTGATTGGTTGAGGCGAGCCTGTGTATTCTCAAAGATTAATTTACGATCAGGCTACCACCAGCTGAAGATTAAGGAGTCAGATATCGCTAAGACCGCTTTCAGGACTCGTTATGGCCATTACGAGTTCGTTGTCATGCCATTCGGCCTCAGCAATGCTCCAGTGGTTTTCATGGACCTGATGAACCGTATTTTCCATCCCTACCTCGATCAGTTTGTTATTGTCTTTATCGACGATATTCTTATCTACTCGAAGAGCCAGAAGGAGCACGAGGAGCATCTAAGGGTGGTTCTCGAAACCCTCAGACGAGAAAAGTTGTTTGCAAAATTCTCCAAATGCGAGTTCTGGCTCCAGCGAGTAGCCTTTCTGGGACACGTGATTACTCTGGCAGGTATCGAGGTGGATCGTTCTAAGGTTTCAGCTGTTCAGAACTGGTCAACACCGAGGAGTCCGTCTGAGGTTCGCAGTTTTCTCGGTCTAGCTGACTATTACCGCAGGTTCATCGAGGGCTTTTCTAAGATTGCCCTCCTACTATCTCAACTGACGAGGAAGTCTGTGAAGTTCGAGTGGACTGACCGATGTGAGGCGAGCTTTCAAGAGCTCAAGAGGAGGTTAACTTCAGCACCGGTGTTGACTATTCCCGATCCTTCTCGTAGTTTCACCATTTTCAGTGAAGCTTCGAAGCAGGGACTGGGATGTGTACTCATGCAGGACGGCCAAGTTGTTGACTATGCTTCACGTCAGCTCAAACCGCACGAACAAAACTATCCGACGCACGACTTGGAGTTAGCCGTAGTTGTTCATGCTCTCAAGATCTGGCGACATTATCTTTACGGCGGACGTTGCGAGATTTTCACAGATCATAAGAGCTTGCAGTACATTTTCACTCAGAAGGAGCTCAACATTAGACAGCGTCGTTGGCTTGGAGTTGCTTATGCTTCACGTCAGCTCGAAGCAGGGACTGGGATGTGTACTCATGCAGGACGGCCAAGTCGTTGCCTATGCTTCACGTCAGCTCAAACCGCACGAACATAACTATCCGACGCACGACTTGGAGTTAGCCGCAGTTCATGCTCTCAAGATCTGGCGACATTATCTTTACGACGGACGTTGCAAGATTTTCACAGATCATAAGAGCTTGCAGTACATTTTCACTCAGAAGAAGCTCAGCATTAGACAGCGCCGTTGGCTTGAGCTCGTCAAGGATTACGATTGCTCTATTTAGTATCATCCGGGAAAGGCGAACGTCGTTGCTGACGCCCTAAGCCGAAAGGTAAGGGGTGACTTGACGTACGTCGTTACTCAGCAGAGTCCATTGATTCAGGAGTTTGCCCGGATGCAGATTCAGGCGGTCGATGCACTTCCCACAGTCATTTCGGGGAGCATCAGTGCCAGTGTTAATGCCATG